GGAGGGAGGGGCAGAAGCAAATATCTGCGGGCGGGGAACAAGCATTGCGGGTTAGTAGTGGTTGCAAGACGGGAGGCTGGGGGGGGGGGAGGGCGCTAAGACCCCCTCCCCTTCTACAGTCTACTACAGACAGCACTTCTAACTTACTCATAGCAATTGGTGTGGGGGTGGGAGGGAGGGAGGGTAGGATAGTTGTTAAACTCACTCAGTATTTCTCGTGTTATAATATGCAATGCGAAACTCCATTGAAAACATTACGAACCTCCTTAACGGGACCTTATTAACCCGCCGAATCCCCCACCGTCTGTGATCCACCCCTCCCCCTCGTCTGTGATCCACCCCTCCCCCTCCCCACCGTCTGTGATCCACCCCTCCCCCTCCCCACCGTCTGTGATCCACCCCTCCCCCTCCCTACCGCCTGTGATCCACCCCTCCCCCTCCCCACCGTCTGTGATCCACCCCNGGCTCTCCTGTGTGCATCTCTATCAGTATGCAGCCGAGACTCCACATGTCGATCGCCAGGTCGTACGACAGTCCCAGCAGCACCTCAGGAGACCGGTAGAACCGACTCTGAATGTACTGGTATATCTGCAGGAGGGGAAGAAGCATACGGGGTTAGTTAGTCGCTCGTCTGTGAGACGGAGGAGGGATGCTACGACCGCCCCCTCTCCTCCTATAGTTAACTGGGGGAGAAAGGGAGCGAGGGAGGGAGGGAGGGAGGGAGGGAGGGAAGAAGGGAGGGAGGGAGGAAGGAAAGGAGGGAGAGAAAGAGGGAGGGACGCTACGACCGCCCCTCTCCTCCTATAGTTAACTGAAGACAGAACCTACACCTTACCTACTCACTCATAGCAACTGGGGGAGGGAGGAAGAGAGGGAGGGAGGGAGGAGAGAGGGAGGAGGGAGAGAGGGAGGAGGGGAAGGGAGGAAAAAGGGAGGGGCCAGAACAAAATATCTGCGGGGCAGGGGAACAAGCATTGCGGGTTAGTAGTGTTGCAAGAGGAGGCTGGGGGGGAGGCGCTAAACCCCTCCCCTCGAAAACAGTCTACTACAGACAGCACTTCCTAACTTACCTCATAGCAATTGTGTTGGGGTGGGGGAGGAGGGTAAGGATAGTTGTGTAAACTCCACTCAGTAATATTCTCGTGTTATAATTATGCAATGTGAAAACTCCTTGAAAAACAGTTACGAACCTCCTTAACGGACCGGATTATTAACCGCCGAATTCCCCCACCGTCGTGTCCCCCCCTCCCCCCTCCCCACCTCTGTGATCCAACCCGCTTCCTCCCCACAGTCCTTGATCATCCCCCCTCCCCACCGTCTGTGAATCCACCCTCCCCAGACACCCTCCCCACCGGTCGTGTGATCCAGCCCCCTCCCCCCCCCCCCCCCCCTCCCCACCGTCTGTGATCCACCCCTCCCCCCTCCCGCACCGTCGTGATCCACTCCCTCCCTCCCACCGTCTGTGATCCACCCTCTCCCCACCGTCTGTGATCACCCCTCCCGCCTCCGCGGCGTGCGAACCGTCTGTGATCCACAGCCCTCCCCCTCACCACCGTCTGTGATCGCAACCACCGCTCCCCCTCGCCTCTCCCACCCCGCACACACTCCAGGCAGCCACCTACCCGGTGCCCAGCTGGCAAGAGCTGCCGAAGTCTACGAATCTTGATGGCGCTGCGCTTGGGTTGCACAGCAGTATAGTGTTCTCACCCACCCCGCCCTCCCCCGCCCCTCCCGCTCCCAACCCGCGCCTCCTCTCTCTCCCACCCACACGCATTCCTCGGTGCCACCTACCCGTTGCCCAGGCTGGCAAGGAGCTGGCTGAAGTCATACGATCTTGATGGCGCTGCGCTTGGGTTGCACAGCATGTATATGTTCTCACCCACCGAATCGCCCCCCGCTCCTCACCATTCAACACCCCTCCTCCCTCGTCCCTCCCGCGACCCCCTCCTTGCGTTCGCACCTACCCGTTACCCAGCTGGCAAGAGCTTTGGCCGAAGTCTACGATCTGATGGCGCTGCGCTTGGGGTTGCAGCAGGCAGTATGATGTTCTCACCCACCGAATTCCGCCCCGCTCCTCAATTCAACACCCCTCTCCCCGCCCGCCTCCCTCTTGCGTTCCACCTACCCGGTTGCCCAGCGGCAGGAGCTGGCTGAATGTCAACGTCTTTGATGGCGCTGCGCTGGGGTTGCACAGCAGTATATGTTCTCAACCCACCCCCTCTCCGCCTCCCGCTCCCCAACCCCGCCGCCCTCCTCTCCACACCCCCGACGCATTCCCGGCACCACCTACGCCGGTTGCCCAGACTGGCAGGAGCTTGGCCGAGTCCTACGATCTGAGTGGCGCTGCGCTTGGGGTTGCACAGCAGGATGTTCTCGGGCTTCAGGTCGCAGTGGATGCGTTTAGCTCCGGCGTCGCGAAGGAAGACAGCGCCGTGCAGAGCTGCTGGCGCAAAATTGCGCGGTCAAGTTGAGGCGAGACGACGGCCGCGGAAGTCGTGTTTGCGCAGGCAGGTCGTGCAGGTTGTAGGAGACAGCTCGTAAGACGAGACAAGGTGGTTGCGGATAGATGAAGTGTCGCTTCAGTTTCACCTGTTGAATAAGCGAAGAAAAAGGTTAGTTCGCGAGTTAAGGGAGACTCCGGTCGTCGGTCGTCGGTGTCAATCGGTGTGCACGCGCGCAGCGTGCGTGTGTGTCGCTGCCTGCCTGTCTGCTGTCTCCTGTTTGCCTGTCTGTCCTGGCCTGTCTGTCTGTCTGCCTGTTCTGCTTGCCTGTCTGCCTGTCTGTCTGTCTCCCTGTCTGCTTGCCTGTCTGTCTGTTAAAGTGTTAGTCTGTCCTGTGTGTCTGTCTGTCTGTCTTTCTGAATTAACCTTAACCATGAGGCTAATGTTGTTCTCATTCACAAGAACTGCACACCTACCACTCGCTACACGCACTCACGCACTCACGCACTCACGCACGCACGCACGCACGCACGCACGCACACGCGCATGAACGCGCGCAAACACCCTGACCGCGCGGGTACGGTCTCACACACGTACGTATGTACGTACCTATGTAGTACTTGCAGTCTACGTCGTGCTTGTTCATTAGCTCCAGCAGCTGCACCTCTATCTTGGCCTGCTCGAGGAACGGCTTCTTGTTCTTGATGATCTTTATCGCGACGTACTCGTTCTCCGCGTGGTCGTACGCCTTCGCCACCTACCGGCGAGCGAGAGAAACAAACGCATGTACGTTAGTCAGTTATCAGACGAGAGCATGTTTGTATTAGGGCACGTTTATTTTAGAGCATGTCTATATTAGAGCACGTTTATATTAGAGCACATATCTAATAGAGCAAGTTTATATTAGTGCACGTTTATATTAGAGCACGTTTCTATTAGAGCACATTTATATTTAGAGCACGCTTCTAATAGAGCACAATTGTAATAGAGCACGTTTCTATTAGAGCACGTTTCTAATAGAGCAAATTTATATTTAGAGCACGCTTCTAATAGAGCATGCTTCTATTAGAGCACGTTTCTATTAGAGCACGTTTCTAATAGAGCACATTTATATTTAGAGCACGCTTCTAATAGAGCACAATTGTAATAGAGCACGTTTCTAATAGAGCAAGTTTCTGTTAGAGCAAGTTTATTTTAGAGCACCTTTATATTAGAGCATGAAACTGTGTATTTTCGCGGGAGGGGTAAACAAGGTGGAATTGCATCTACGTTTCTATTCGTTGGCAGTCGAGAGAATGCTTCCGTTACAGCAACCCAGCACCCTCTGGCTATGTCCGAAGTTAGCAGAAAATAAACCAGCAAGGGTCCGAGTGCAAGCTGCTTGTAGACTAAGCTAGGGGCATGCGTTGTCAAAGGTTATATCAAAGCATCTGGGTAAAGTGAGACATGCCCACAGCAATGTTCGAGGTATAGTATAACCCAACAAGGTATTTAAATACAAGAACTAACAAATAAACGTGCTCTTTAAGAGCAGCAGTAATAATTTGCTACAGAATTTGACTGACAGTTTTCTAAATAAGGATTTTTTTCAATTAGTTGCCTCCCTTCTCCTTCTGAAATGAAATCTATTGATGGCCTTTTTAACTATTCCACAGCAAAATGGAGAGAGCTCGTGTCAGTGAGCAAGGTGTGTCGTGCATGCGTCTTCGCTGTCTAGACATGATTGGCACGTCCTCTATGTCAATCACGGTTTAAATACATCTGGCGACACTAGATGGCGGCACCGTACCCGCACTTCGACGTCAGACGGGCGTCTGCTGCAGAGTTCAGACAGACGCGCGCGCCCACGTACATATACGCGTACCTACACACATGCGCACGCCTACACAATGTCAGCCTACACACACATACACACACATGCACACGCACGCACGCACGCACGCACGCACGCACGCACGCACGTCCGCCCACATACATACACACGCGCACCCACGTACATACACGCACGCACGCACGCACGCACGCGC